AGGCTCAATTATCAAGAAAAGGATATAGTTGGAGCTGAGGATCAGGTCAAAAGCCTTGGAGGAAAAGTATATTTATCTCAACTTATTTAAAGATTTTGTGAAGCTTTAATTTTGTCCAACTGAAAGGCACGAGGAGTTAACCAGCTTCACAAATTTCAGCGGAGAAAATTTGAAAGTGAAAATGTGTTACAGAACAAGAAGGGAATAAATTTCTGCTACACTTGACAGAGTGAGAAGGTTGAAGCTTCTAACAATCTCAGTCTCAGCCTGTAAATGAATATAGATATAGCTGAGTCCCGGTGCATAGAAGGAAGATGCACAAACCTGGCAGGTTCAGTAGTACAATGTACAATTCCAGACTCTCCTAGTCTCCTGTATCAATGCCTTAGTAAGAAACAATCAGAGCAGAGGAAGTTAAGTGAAATGCAGAGTTTTCAATGGCCATGGACCTGTCTTCAGTCTCATCCTGATCATATCTGAGCGTTAAAATTCAAAAGAGAAATAACTGTTAATCTGTATATGTTCGGAATCAGGCAGAGCATCTAGAGGGAATCATCCAATCAAGTCAAAATATAGGGTTGGTAATTGGTAACTTCACCAAGGAGAAATATGAACAATCCAGTCAGTAGGTCAAATATTCCACCAAAATTGATCCAACTATTCTCATCAACGGAATTCTTCAGAATTCATGACTCCAGATTCTCTCTTATTCGGAGTGCAAGTCTTTCTACTGACTGGTCATCAAAAAACCTATCCATCTCCTTAATTTTTGACACAAAATCCATGGCTTCTCTGTATTTTCTTGCTTTACAATAACCATCTACCACAATCTTGTAGGTAAGATCATTTGGTCTGCAGTTGTACTGAATCATAACGCTGATCACCTCATCTATCTCTTCAAACATCCTTTGTGCTGCATAGCCTGCCACAAATGTATTGTAAGTGAAAATACATGGTTGGATCCCTCTGGTTGTCATTTCAGATAGAATTCTTCGGGCCTCCTGGATAAGCCCTTGCCTACAAAATCCCTTAATGACAGTATTGTAAGACACAAGATCTGGTTTTCCACCAGACATCAGTAGTCCCTTGAGAATTTCCTCGGCTTTCCAACATTCTCCTCCTCTAGCATACATGTCCATCAAGCTGTTGTGGGTGACAAGATCAGGTTGCAGCCCACTTTCACCAATCAAGTTGAGCACTTCATGGGCCTTCTCATACATTCCATTCTTGGCAAACATGGATAGCATGGAATTGAACAACACCAAATCAGGTTTGTAACCCCTCTTTAGCAATTCCTGAAATGCCCTCTCCATACCTGCCAGTGCTCTGCATTTGAAGTTTGCACGAACAAGGGTTCTTAAAAGTACCCAGCTTGGAAAAA